TCCAACTCCATATAGTAAGATAAGACAAAAATTACTTCACTCACAACACATGATCTTTTCATTTCAATAAAAATAAATATACAATCCAAGAGAAATAAAAAACATATACACCAAAGACTTGTATATGAGTGTTCATAATAGCCCAAACTGGAAACAACCCAAGTGTCCATCAGCAGGAGGATGGTTAAACAAATTGTGGTACATTCATATAGTGGATACTACTCAGCAGTAAAAAAGAACTAACTATTGATACACATACAATGTGGAAGAATCTTGAAAACCTTATGTTGAACAGAAGAAGCCAGAGAAAGAAGGTACATAATGAAATATTGCATTTATATAAAGGACCAAATGAAAACCAAACCCCTTGCCACTGAGTGGATGCCGACTCACAGTGACCCTATACGACAGAGTAGAAACTAACCCATAGAGTTTCCAAGGCCGCAGTCTTTACAGAAGCAGATTGCCACATCCTTCTCCTGCATAGTGGTTGGTGGGTTCAAACCACCAACCGTTCAGTTAGCAGCCGAGCGCTTAACCGCTGCATCACTAGGGCTCCATATAAAGTACAGGCGAAAATAATTTATGGTGATAGAAATCAGAAATTGGTTTCTTGGGGTTGGAGGTAGGGATTGACTGGAAAGAAACATGAGGAAACTTCCTTGGGTGATGGAAATGTTCTATATCTTGTTTTGGCTGTTGGCTATAAGGTTGTATATGATTTTCAAAATTTATAAACTGAACACTTAGAGTCAATGCATTTTATTGTATGTAAATCATGACTCAATAAATAATATAAAGGTAGATACACAATACCTTTTAAAGCAACTGCATGAAATTCATTATATGGCTGTACTATGTTACTTAACTGATTATTTTTTCCCTACTGTGATTGTTTTCATTTTTTGTTATTATAAAAAAATGACATAATGAACATCCTTGTACTTACATGCTTACATATAATTATCTCCTTGTTATAAATTCTGGAAGGTGATTTCTGTATCAAAGAGTACACGTATACATTTTAAATTTTGATACATAGTGCTACTTTCTGCCTTCCAGAAAGTTCATACCAATATACTCTCTCACTAATCAGTTTATGTGAGTGTTCATTTCTTCACTTCCTTGCCAACACTGCATAATATCAGTAAACGATGGGAATTTAATAGTCCTGATTTTAAGTGAATGTTTGTGTTCCTCTAATGTGGCTTCTTAAGATGCACAGTGGGCTGAGTTTGGCATTTAAGAAGGAAAGGTGCAGAGAAAAGCAATAACTCTACTTTCCAAGGTATGAGGAAATAATTTTTGTCTTACCTTACTTTGTAGTGTTGGAAGAAAGGAGTGATTAGATGGGGTTATGGAGAAAAGTAGGCTGTGAGAGCGTTTTTATGAATTTGAAAATTTTTCAATGTATTTTCTCTTTGGATTGGTCCGTTCGGAGTCTTCAGATTTTAAACGCTTCTCAGAATAAGGGCTTGTGTTTAATGAGATATCACAGACTAGCTTCTTTTTGAACTCTTGCCCCTTTGGCATTCCTTTTCTGGCTAAGGGTCCTCCAGAAGGATTTTCTGCTTCTGTCTTGGAGCATTCAAATCTAGTAGAACCAGCCATGTGGCCACCCCCTAGATCCTAGCTCAGCAACCTGTGAGTGAGTACTGTGTGAATGCATCGCACATATTCATGCTCAGTAGCAGGCTCAGGCCTGGGCTGTGAAGAAGCAGCTTGTATGCCAGGAAGAATGAGTCAGTAGAGAGTCAAAGCCCATTCATGTAATAGCTAACACTTATTGAGGACTCAAAATCATGTCACACTAATCTCCGTGATATGTGGACTTCATTAAGGCAATTGATTATACATTTGATGATATATTTGTGGACAAGATAGAGAATTATTGATTGGGTGCTAGTCAATTAGACTGTAATGAGAGAGATAGTATTACATAATGGTTAGGAGTATGGACTTTGGAGCCAGGTACATGAGTTTAAATCATATTTCCTCCACTACAACCTGTTTGACTTTGGGCCAGTTACTTAACTACTCTATACTGCAGTTAGCTCATCTGTAAAATGAGGATAACAATAGCATTTACCTCAGGGGGTTATTGGGAGGATTAAATAAAATGATAATAATCAGTAATAAACAGTGAAGTGTTTAGAACAATGCCTGGCCTGTAGAAGATGACAAGTAGATATTAGTTATTATTGTTATTAGGTTGGTTGGTGAATGACTGTACCCAAAGCAAACAGATTAATAACTGTAGTGACTCATACAGAGCTGAACATTATCTAGAAATCTTGAATCTTTTCCATCCTACTGTTGCTTAGCCATATTTTTCTCCAATATTACTTGCATTGCTTATTTTTAGAAACCCATTGAAAAATCCTACATCTATTCCCACTCAACATCTTTTAAGGAGTCTGTGGCAGATGGACTGGCTGGGTCACCAGCCCGGATCTGTTGAACAACATTATGAGTGGCTTGGACAAAGTTGCAGACAATTTTCCCATCAAATTTGTAGAGGATAATGGAGCTAAAGCAATGGCAAACTCCTAATTGGAATAAGAAATCTTAATAAGCTAGAAAGATGAGTGTCTTAGTTATCTAGTGCAGCTGTAACAGAAATACCACAAGTGGATGGCTTTAACAAAGAGAAATTTATTCTCACATTCTAGTAGGCTAGAAGTCCAAATTCAGGGTGCCATCTCCAGCGGAAGGCTTTCTTCTCTCGCTGTCGGCTCTAGGGGAAGGTCCTTGTCATAAGCCTTCCCTGGTCGAGGAGCTTCTCAGTGCAGGGACGCTGGGTCCAAAGGATGCACTATTCTCCTGGCTCTTGTTTCTTGATGGTATGCGGTCCCACTGTCTCTCTGCTCACTTTTGTCTTTTATATTTCAAAAGAGATTGACCTAAAACACACCTAATCTTGTAGATTGTGTCCTGCCTCTTTAACATAACTGCTGCTAATCCCACCTCATTAACATCATAGAGGTAGGATTTACAACACATAGGAAAATCACATCAGATGACAGAATGGTGGACAATCACATAATACTGGGAATCATGGCCTAGTCAAGTTGACGTACATTTTTGGGGGACACAATTCAATCTATGACAATGGGTCAATCCTTGGAACACATGTAGGATTCTTCAGTGTTGAAATCATCTCTAGAGTTTGTACTAGATTGATATTGATTTTCTTTTATATTGTTTTTATCTTAAGAATCCTTTCTTAACAATCACTAAAAACTCCATGATTATATTATCAACAATTGTTTAACTCTTCATTTTGCTAGTTTCATTTCTCATCACTCTTTCTTTGTGCCTTATGTCTTCCCTTTTCTTGACATGAGGATACATTCAGCTGGTAGTGGACTGGGCTGGTAGGTAAAAGAAGGCCTCTCTCCTATGTCTAGGGCCTTGAAGCTGACTATCAGGGCGCTTTAGTTCTCTTCTACGTGGCCTCTCTCTTCACATGATGTGTCATTTTTAGGACCTCTCTCCCAAGCAGGATAGCCTGGACTTCCTTACAGCATGGCCACTGGATTCCAAGAGAGGGAAAAAGGAAGCTGCCAAGCCTCTTAAAAACTAGGTCTGGAACAGGAACAATGTCACTTCGGCCATTTTCTGTTAGTCAAAGCAAGTCTTAATACCAGTCTAAGGGCAGAGGGAGCAGACTCCACTGTTGATGAGAGAAGTGGTGTGCAGGTAAAGAAAGGGAGGAATTGTTGGCAGTCGTATTTGGAGATGCTCTCCCACAAAGAGTTTCCCAAAGTTTGTTGCACTAAAGGCACAGGTTGATCAGAATTGGTAGTTTGTGTGGACTCCTTCAGCAATTGAATGCATTACTGGTTCCCAAACAATGATCAGAGATGAAGTGTTTATTGATCCGAGGTGACGAAAAAAAAGAGAGAGAGACTATAGTGAAGTTTTATAAAATCACATGAAACAAGTTTAAAAGGATTCTGAGATTATTTTCTTCCTTCTTTTGGGGGGGTTAAAGTGTCCTTCCTTTTACAAAATGATAGTATTACTAGTTAAAATATGTCCTTATTTGGTAAGATAGAATATTGATCACCTTATGTTAGTCCTTCCAAAATTTCTGCTCTTTGAAATCCTGAAGTCTGGGAACAACTCTTCAGTCATGCTGTTCCCTGTGCACTACCCCCTGGTAGTTTTTGCAGAGGTCCTTGGGAAAAGTCCCATTTCACTTAGGGTGCTTTTTTTCCTCCAAGTGAAATTGGAGAGAAAATGATACGGCTAGCTGCTCTGAATGTGTGGCTCTGATGGAATTCCTAAAGTTTTTAGTTTTGCTCTTCAACAGGTCTGAGGGGAAAACTTCTGGCAGAGAACTTTCTTCTTTAGCCTCTGAATTACTCTGTGTGTGTGTGTGTGTGTGTGTGTGTGTTTTAAATCCCATGCCTATTATCTCTGGCAGTCGTCTATCAAGGGGCGAAATCTGCAAAGGGTCGCGTCTTGCCCTTCTCAAAGCCTGTTCTACACCCCTCTAATCTGAGTGAAATTAGTGAGGCCTTTCCGAATTATCTTCTTACTATCTGCTATACCATTTTATGGCCATGAGCTAAAAAAAACTATTTGTCAGCCCCTAGCATTTTTTACTCTCACCTAAATTGTTTTGTATCTTGAGTTTTACTAAAGATATTTTAGTATGAGGCTGGGGCCATCCTTATTTTATAGTAATTGAATACTGTTTTTTAACATACTTTTTTTTTTTGGTTCATTTTGTTGGAGGTCAGAGAGCTGGTGATGGTTGTTGGTTTCTGTAAACATGCAATCTTTCCCAGAACACACAAGTATTTATTGAGCACCTCCTGTGTTCGCAGTGCCAATGATATGAAGGATATATCAGGAGTAAAATAAAATTCATGATACAGTTGTAAACAGATGCATCCATTTATAAGTGAGAATGTTGAGAAAATGGCTGTCACAATGCCTTTTTTTATTCTTTCTGTTCTTCCTTTCTTACGTTTGGGATGGGTCTCAAGACATAGATGAGTGTGAGGTTTCCGGCCTGTGCAGGCGTGGAGGACAATGTGTGAACACTCATGGGAGCTTTGAATGCTACTGCATGCATGGCTACTTGCCAAAGAGTGGGCCTGAGCCTTTCCACCCAGCCAGAGATGCCACGTCATGCACAGGTGGGTTTCTGCCAAAGAATGCAGCATCTGAAGGTGAGATTCTGTTGATGGTGACTTTTTCCAGCTCTGAGCCTGTGTTTATGAGTCTGTGCTGGGAATTTGGGTGGAGGTTATCTGTTCCTTTGCACGTCTGTACAACCTATGAAATTAAGCAAATGACAACATAATTAAGAAGGAAGTGGCAAGGTTAAAAAAAAGCTAAAATAAGTAAAATTTAGGGATTTTTCGCAGTTCTTATATTAACCATTATGTTAGATAGCAAACACAGTGGATCTAGTAAGGACCAGCATCTCAAAAGGGCCTCTGAAAATTATACGTATGTTTTAAGGTATTTTACAATTCAAACTTTTCACTTCACTGGACTAGTCTTCTCTTTAGTTAGTATGATTTACTGAAGATTGATATATAATCCTTTTTATTGCCGAAGAAGTCTTTCAGCTCTGTGCATATAAAGACACTATCACCTATGGAAGGTCAGAAGATTGAATAGAGACAATCATTGGAAATGTGTCCAGAAGTCATGAGGAAACGAAACAGCCTACTTAATATATGGTCCAGGGGGTGAGTGGGGAGGATGGGGGAGAGGTGGAGAGAGATTATGAATTTTGAAAATTCACATTCACATTTGACATGAATTTCCTTTCAGAAATTGACTGTGGCACCCCTCCTGAGGTCCCACATGGCTATATCATAGGAAATTATACATCTACGCTGGGCAGCCAGGTTCATTATGTTTGCAAAGAAGGATTTTTCAGTGGCCCGGAAGATACAGTTTCAACCTGCACAGCTTTGGGCACATGGGAGTCCCCAGAATTATATTGCCAAGGTGAGTTGGTTCAGGTTCCCAACTTGTACCATTTTGAGATTATTTCCATATTTCTTTCTAAATTACACTTTTGAAATTAATCTAAAATATCAGTGGATTCTAAGAACAACATCATCTGTTAAGAATGATAATTGCACTTTTCATTTTTCTATATTTACAGGAGTTCTACTTTTTTTTTGTTATTGGACAAGTATTTTCAGAACAAAAATTTAAATAGTAGTGTTGACTTTGGCTATTCTTTTCTTATTCCTGACTTTCATGGGAATGGATTTAGTGTTTCATCATTCATGCCTTATCTTGGCTTTTTGATGTTTATTTATATACCTGTTTTAATAAGTGGAGTGGTTAAGAGCTATGGCTGCTAACCAAAAGGTTAACAGTTCGAATTCACCAGCCCCTCCTCGGAAAACCCTAAGGGGCAGTTTCACTCTGTCCTATAGGGTTGCTATGAGTCGGAATCGACTTGATGGCAATGGGTTTGTGTTGGTATATAGCACTATGTGCCAAGTACTGTTCTAAACATTTTATATACATTGACTCGTTTAATCCCTATAATATCCATCTGTATAAGTACTATTATTATCATATTTCACTGAGATAAATGAGGCACAGAGAGCTTACATAATTTTTCCAAGCTCGCACAAAGAGCTGAAAGTTGAACCCAGGAAGTCAAACTTCAGAGGCTGTGCTCTTAAATATTCTGTTACGCTGCTTCTGTTTTTATGATGATGTTGGTTTTTCATTGATTTTGACTTTCTCTCTCCATCTCAATCCCTTCCCATTTTATTAGGAGATTTTTTTAAAATTAGGAATGGAGTTATTTTTATCACATGTCTTTTAAGCATGTATTAAGGTGATCATATTTTTTTCCTTCCTTTTCTCCAGTAATGTGGTGGATTACATTATTAGATTTCCTGATAATGATCATTGCTGATTCATGGAATGAATTCTTCATGTCTTTGGTATTTTAGTCTTTTAATCTGGATTATATTTGCTAAATTTTATTTAGCATTCTTGTACGGATATTCATAAGTGAGATTATTCTAGTTTCTTTTTCAGTGCTGTCTTTGTTGAGTTTGATATCAGTGTTATTCTGAATTAAAAAAAAAAAAGTGAAGTGTTTCCTTTTTTCTTTATTCTCCAGAATAGTATAAATAGAATTTTTAAAGATTTGGCAGATTTCTCCTGGAAAACCATCTGGATGTGGCACTTTGGGGGAAGTTGCCCTTGGACTGCTTTTTTATTTCTTCCTGTGCTTACTGGTCTGTTTAAGTTTTCTATCCCTTTTGAGATCAATTTTAGTAATTTACATATTCCTAGAAAATCATCTATTTCTTCCGAATTTTCAAATTTACTTGTAGATAGAAGTGTAAAGTACTCGTAAGTACAATTTTCTGTAGTTATATTTGTTTATAATAGTGAAATATTAGAAATAACCCCAATAGGAGAATGGTTAAATAAATTATGGTACATCCTTAAATGGAATATTATGTACCTATAAATAGTACATTGGAAAATAATATTTATTGACATAGATAAGTATTAATAGTATATTTTACTATACTATATGAATAACATGATCTTATTTTTGAGAAAAAATCCATATGTATGGATATGCTTAGGAAAAAGTCTAGAAGTCCACGTCAAAATGTTAACAGTGGTAATTTCTACTGGGCAGGGCCGGTCCTGGATGACTTTGCTATTCTGCGGCACAGTGGTTAAGAGCTCGGCTGCTAACCAAAAGCCAGGCAGTTTGACTCCACCAGCTGCTCCTTGGAAACTCTATGGGGAGGTTCTTCTCTGTCCTGTAGGGTCGCAATGAGCCGGAATTGACTCGATGGCAACAGGCTTGTTTGTTTTTTTGGGTATACTTTCTATATTAAATGAATTTTTAATGTATTAGACAAAGTAATAAAGCTGTTTCCATTTTGGGAAAAAAACCAGTTTTCACTGAATTTATCACATAGCTAAGAAATGTCAGAGGTGTGCTTGGTCAAGTTCATCATTTTGATATTTTGATTTGGGGTTCAGGCTGTAAACACGTTTTAATAGTTAATGAAGAAATTCTGAAAATACATTTAAATTCTACGATTATCTTTCAGTGGATCCATTAAAATGTAGAACTTAGATTAAAATGTGCCATAATGCATATCAAAGAACCCCCCTAAGGATTTATATAGGAAACCCCATATAAAACAATTTATATTGCTTTGAAAATCAGTAGCCATCTGGATTATTGGACTGAGAATGTAGAAAGTGAATTTAGAGGAAAGTGCTTATTACAGTCCTAATTGAACTGTTATTTAAAACATCTTCACTCCTTTCTTCCTCCCCTGATGACTGCTCCCTCTGCCTGCTGACACCCTCCTCCTTCTCCTCCATGTCACCTCATGGCAACGCTTTCCCACTGCTGTGCCTACCCCTCCCTGAACACACCCCTTCTCATTTATCCTTCAGGCATCTTTGGGGTTCCAGAATCCGGGCCATGTGCCAGCGGCGCTGTATTTTTAGCCCAGAGTTATAAAGCCACAGGAATTGGGAATTCCACTAAAAACACTAGCAAACTGTGAACTTGGATGCTGCTGGGGTGCTTGCGAACAAGGGAACAGCTGTGTTATAGGCAGCAGCTTTTGTGTCTCGTAACAGAGTTCCCAGTCAGAGGAGATGCAGTCTGTGGATCTTGTTGTTTGGCAGTTCCCAATCACTCTGTCGCTGGAGCCAGCTCTGCTGCCTTCTTGGGGTGGCCTGCGACACCTGTGACACTGAGCCAGCCGCCTAGCTGAAGGCAAAGCCTGAAAGCTTCCAATGGCAGGGGTCCCTGTGGCTCCTCTTCCTATTTTGGTAGGCATCTATTGAGATGTCAGCCACACATTTCCAGCAACTCTCTGGAAAAGATTGAATCTCTAGCTTGTATTTCCTGTTTTTTTTTAATTTTTAGAAAACATGCAAGTTGTAAGCAACAGCTTTTAAATTTAGAATGTAAATTTTTGAATTTCCCCCAAGCCAGGAGCAAGGTGAGGGGATCATTTTAATCGTGTTATCATCAACAGCAAATCCGGAGTCCAGGTCTGACGCTGTGTGTGCAATATACTGTGGTGAAGGAAGGCTGGAGTCTGCAGGAGAGAACAGACAAGTACACCGCCAACTGTCATTAAGGGCAAGATCCTAAGTCTTATGTGAGAAGAATGGTAAGGGGCTAAGGGAGTTCAGATGGGGAAATAGGTTGGGTACATGGAAGAGCTGGCATTTGTGCCCTTCCCTTTGAGCAGTTTGCCTACTCGTATAATAGAGTCCATTGAGGAATGGTCTGCAGTGTAGGCAGATTGGTTGGAGGGTCCTGTGAACATCTGTCTTCCAGATATGCCTCACTTCATGGGGCCGTATCTTCCTTTCTGGCTGGGAATCTCACGGGCAGTGTTTCTGGCACTGCATGGTCCCTTTAAGAATCCATTTCCACTGTTGTCCCCTGCAGCACATTCCCCACCTAGCAGCAGTAATGAACTTTTTGATACATAAAGTGGATTGTCCTCTTCCCTTGCTTAAAACTCTGCTTAAAACATTGAAACGGCTATTGCATTTAGAATAAAATTCAAACTCCTAACCACAGCCTCCGAGGCCGACAGTGGTTTGGCCCTCTTAACTTCTCTGCAGACGACGTCTCCCCTCACTATCCCCCATCAATATGTCAAGCTCTTGCAAACTCCTTGGCCTTTGCACGTGCTTTTTCCTTTGCTTGGAATGCTTGCCTTCTTGCTTTTTTGCATGGTAAGCTCCTTCTCGTCTTTCAGGTTTCAGCTTAAATGTTGCTTCTGACATTATTCTCTTTCTTAGTACTCAATATGTAATTATATTTGTGGTTTTTGTAAGTCTCTCTCACTGGACTGTAAGTTTGGAAGCTGAGACTATATGGTCTCTCCAGCACCTGGCACAGTGCCTGGCATACCTAAGGCCTGTATAAGCCTGAATCCTCCTCAAAAGGGGCCATAGAGGGTGGCAGGCATCGTGGATTTGGCCCCTGTACCGCTGTCCCAGCTTATCCCTGGGCTGAGCCTTGTTAAAGCCCTGACCTCCTTTCTTGTTTCCTCTCTCAAGCTCCATGTCCTTTTCCCTCTAAATTCATGTCCTTTCCCCTCTAAATTAACTTTCTTCTTTCTTTGTCTTCTGGACCATCATTCTTGATTCCCACCTGGCGTGACATCTCTCTACTTTGATGAACCAGGAACAGTGTCTTGGGGCTGACTCATTTGCCAGGTCTTTCTCCAGCAGAGCTGCTGGGTGGGTGCGAACTGCCAACCTTTTGGTTGGCAGCCAAGGGGCATGAATCCTGGTTTCACCATGTCCGTGCATATGACCCTCAGAGGATGCATGAGTCTTGCAGAGACAGGGACTCTCCTTTGAGTTGGTCAGCCAGGGTGGGACATGGTCTCCAAAGTCTACTAATAACAGAGCCAAATTCTCATTTGATCTTTAGAAGTGCCTTCTGAGGTAGTTAATATTTGGGTATTATTTTCCATTTCACAGAGGAGTTTAACAACCAGAGCAAGGAAGAGACTTACGTCACTAGTTTATGTACCAACAATATGAGAACCCAAAGCACTTTTCTAGAAGGCAGATTCCATGTAAAAGCAGGTCTAGTGAGTGCTAGAGATGGGAGGCATTGCTGAAAGAGTTAGAGGACCCTAGAAGGAGAGGGGCACTCGGGCAAACATACCTTCCTACCCAGTGTGGTCTATGGCCCACCCAGAAGGGTATTTATTGTTGCCAAGTCAGCTCTTCATCTTATGAGATTTTCTTAGTGGAGCCCAATGTCACTTCTGCAAAGTTGAGAAGGGTTTAAAAAGCTCTGATGCAAATGAGTACATTCAGGTGTTGGGTGGCAGATCCATTTCAATGCACTGCTGCCTGATTTTTTTTGTAGTGGTGGGCTGAAGATTCTGAGACCGCATCTAGACTTAGCACAGAACAGTGCTGCATTGATTAATGATGCCCACCATGGGTGA